AAAAAAAAAAAAAAAAAAAAAAAAAAAAAAAAAAAAAAAGGCAAATTAAATATATAAACAAGTTCACAGGTAAACAAAAACAACATAAGAACCCCACAACACGCAACCAAGGTGAGAGCGCCATATAATCAAATCACGAAATGCACATTTTGAAAGGCGCACATTTGGGTTTGCTACAACAGCAAATAAGAAAAAATTATAAAGATCAACTTTTTTTTTTAAATCCCTAAAATGCATGTACAGTCAGGTGAAATATGCAGGGTGTGTAGCTAATCTGCTACGTAGCTAGCTTTAAATGGACAGCTGTTAGTGTGCAAAAAAAAAAAGAAAAAGGGGGGAGGAAAAAAAAATTATGAACAAGTCATAAAGAAAAAGACATGTAAAAAAATAAACTATGAGGAAATAATAAAAAGAAGACGTTAAACAAAAAAAAAAGAAAAAAAAGAGGGAAAAAAAAAAAAAAAAAAGAAACGCATGCGCCTTGAGATTGTTTCAAATAAACAAAAAAATGAAAAATTTATGCGCCTTATACTTACCCATGTAAATACTCACCTTGACGTAATTAAGGCTATATGCATTTTTTTTTTTTTTTTTTTCCGCACTCCCCTTCGTTAAAATTGCCCAACGGTTACTTCCTTTCCAAGTTGCACGTCGGAGAATCGCTTAAGCAAAGCGCAACACACAAGAGGAAAAAATTCCAAACCGAGCAATCAGAATAGCCATAGGACGGTAACATAGCAAAGTAGCAATGCCGCATAATATGAAAAAGGCAGAATAAGAACAACGCGCAATAGCAACAATACAGAACAACAACGCCACAACAGAGCAACTGCCCAAGATGGATAGGACGTACGATCCACTCCTGACCAAGCCCTTCCAAGCTGCGTACAGCTTCGAAAGCTACGAAGAACCAAAAAAGTACAACCTCGAAAAAAGAGCGAAAATATTTTCCCCCACGTACTTCTTCGATGGGAACTCCTGGACAGCACTGGAAAAACCGTTGGTCCTTAAAAAAACGGTGTTTGATGATGATCGAATTGTTATCCTGAAATCGTTTGAAGACAGAAATCCACCACCCGAGTTGGAGCTATCCTTGAGTGGAAAATATGACATCAAGGTATATAAATGCAGAGATATCATAGTATGTATCGAAGGGGAACAAAAAATATTAATGAAGTTGCCCATAACACAGAATATTATTACTTGGAATAGTTCAGAGCGACTTCCAGTTTTAGCCAAGACATGGAGACCCACAGTATTTATACTAAACCAAGGAAATGTATTCATTAGAATTATCCCGGAAAAATGTCTAGTTATAAGCAAAGTCAACGACACAGATTCGTTTAAAGTAAGTTGTATTAACTATTCTGACGGGTTCTGTT